CGCGCACTATGAGGGGCGAAGTGAAGTGGGAACAGTGAATGCGTAAGGGGGAAGGCAGAAGTCGGCACAGCGAAGTGCAAAGTGGAAACCACAAACGCTAGGTAGCAACTCCAAAGTCAACCGCAACAAGTCAGAAGTCGCTTCCGTCATGTCCTAAGTGCAAACCACTAACCGTGTGAGGAACGTGGAACTGCCAACAGCAAAGCTGCGCGGAACTTGGAAGGCCGTTGTGCAGAAGTGCAAACAAACAACTTGAAGTCAGAAGTGGCATACGTAAAATGCGAAAGTAGAAGGCTAAACAGAAAACTGCGAAACCAAAAGCTCAAAGTGAGAATGCAAAACTCAATCTCCAAAAGTCAGAAGTGCCATGTGTAAAATGTAAAATGCGAAATTAGAAGGCTAAACAGAGAACTGCGAAACCAAAAGCTCGAAGTGAGAAAGCAAACCCGAATAGAAGCCACAGACTTCGGCGATCGGCCACTCTCGTCATGCACGGCGCGCTGCTCCTTGCTGCCGCGTGCACCGCTGCACCCACCCTTGACCACGGCTCGAGCCGCGCCAACATCCTCGACCTCTTTGCGCATTCGCGCGACACGGCGCGTGTGGCTGCGCTCACTGGCCTCACGCGGCGGCGCGTGCAGCAAGTCGTGGCTGCGGCTGGCCTCTCGGGCCGCGAGCGGCTGCTTCCGCTTCACCCACGCTTCAACGACATCGTGAACTTCGAGGTAACGCGCCACGGCGCGAATTACGGCTACAAGATGCTGCTCGGAGTGCTGAAAGCGCACCACCCCGACTGGCGCTGGCCGCGCGAGGCGGTGCAGGCGGCGCTGCGCGCAGTTGACCCTGCGGCGAGCGACGCCCGCCGGTCTTGGTGCTACCGCAGGATTCAACGCGGCGCCTACCACGCGCCGTACTTCATGTACTCCACGCACATTGATTTGGCGTGCAAGCTGCAGGAGTACCGCATCTTTGTCGCAGTAGCGATCGATGGGCGCACTCGCTTTGTGCACTCACTGACAGCGCTTATGAACAAGCTGCCCGTCACGGTGTACGAGGAGTTTGTCGCGCCTTTCCTAGCAGCCGACGCGCTGCCCGACCAGATCGTCACTGACAAAGGGCGGGAGTGGTACGTGGCCGCCTTTGTCTGCCTGCTGCTCGCGCGCAGGGCTGGGCGCGCGGGCGGGCGCGCCGCGCACCGCTTTGTGCCGTCCACCCGCAACGTCGCTTGCGTATCTCCGCTCTGCGGCGTCCGCTGCACCACTCTCTCTAACCCCTGCTCTTGTCCCGTTTAGACACCAGTCGAGCGCTTCAACCGCGAGGTGAACATGCGCGTGTTGGTGCACTTCCGTCGCCTCATCAACTTTATGGAAGAGAATGACCTCCTCGACAAGAACGACGCGCAGGAGGTGCACGCCTTCTCGTCGGTGGCCACGCCCCTTGTGCAGGCCGGACTAGACCTGCTCAAGGCGTCGTGGAACCAGCACTCCATCGCCGGGCGCACCGGATGCCCCGGCACCGGCGGCATCCCCGCCCTGCGCGCAGCGCGAGATCCGCACCCAGGCGGGCAGCTCGTTCTCCCGCCGAACTTCGACGGTGCGAGAGAGTACGAGCAGGCGCGTGGGCAGCGGCTCCCTCGAGTCCCCGCGTTTGTGCGCTCCGCTGACACGCTCCTCGGGCGACCCAACGCACGGGCCCGGCGCGCTGCGCGCGTCCACAGGCTGCTAGGTGGAGACACGGAGGAGGCATACACAGACATTGTCAATGGCGACTATGACGCCTTTATAGATGCATACGAAGAGTTCCTGCAGTTCGTGTGAGTGGTGGGCCGTGCCCAGGTGTTACGCATGGCAGCTCTGTGTTGGACGGGTGTGCGTGTGGCTGTGGGCCCAAGGGGCTAGAGTATAATGTGAGTAATGCGTCCAGCGTCTGTGCATCGAGGTCTTAGATAGAGAGTGGACGGCTGTGAGTGTGAGGCCTCCGTGCGGATTTGGACACATCGCAGTGCGCCGACCTGCGGCGTGGTGCCGCTCAGCTCACCTTGTGATTTTTGGGTCAAAATCGTCCCGATTTCATAATGTTCGTTCGTACGTGCATCCGCGGCGCCCAGCGCGGTGCCAGCGGCTCCCATACCTCTAAGAAGGTGGGGGACGACAGTCGTGGCCTTGTTTTGGACGTTACGTGCCGCCGAAACTTGATCACCGATCACCGTCTGAATAGATAAGTCCTATACAACTCTCCAAAGGCCGGTGATCGGTGACCAGGTGATCGGCCGGTGATCATGCAGCTAGTGGGTGGTGCTCCGGCCACCGTAAGGACGGTCAGGCTACGGTCAGGAAGTAGGTTTGAGTTCACACTCTCCAACACTTAAAATCCCCGTTTGTCGATAAGCGATAACGGATAAGGCAATTCAACACGAATGGTTAGTTACTGCTCGCTGCTCGGCCATGCGGTAGCGTCTGGTGATGCCGCCCCTGCGCGGCTCGCTCGGCAGCAACTGCGCCGCGCAGCGCAGGTTCGAGGGTCGCGGTGGGTGCACCGGAAGACGTAGCGGTCGAGAAAGCGCTCAGCGACCGCGTCTCGAGGATGGGAGTGATTCTGAGATCAGGTTAGTCGTTTCCCCTTTGGAGGCAGACATTTCAGAAAGCGAATCCCCGGCCGCATCTGCCCGTTCGAAGCGGGGAACCCGCCCCGGGCGCCCGCTCGAAGCTGGGGGCGCCCGCTCGAAGCTGGGGGCGCCCGCTCGAAGCGGCCGGCTGCCTGCGAGCGTGCTGCGGCCCTCCGCCGCCCTCAATGCTGTGGCTGGCCGCGGTGCTGACCCTCGGCCTCTCCTCGGTGCGCCCGCTCCGCGGTGTCGGCACACAGAAGCCCTCTGGCCGCCGCCGCACTGGCAATGCGCTCGGAAAGCCACCCCGCTGAGCGCCAATGTACGCCGGCGCAGGCGACGATGAAGGTCCTTGTCTCGCCCGATCGCATCGCCTACCGCATCCCCGACAGAGATGCGTTCGAGGCGCTGGTCAAACGGCTCGAGCTGCCAGGTGACCCGGTCGCAAAGAATCTGCGCCATGCGCATTGGTATCTCTCTACCTCCGACGCGCAGGACCGCAAAAGCTACAAGCTGATGATGGACGCGATCGTCACGTTGCCGGTAGCTTCACTCGTTCAGGAGCATGATCTCGAGTGGCAGCGTCAATTCCGGGCACCAGGAGCTGAGCTTACGATCTCTGACGAGTCGCACCGCAGGCTGATGCAGCACAACTATAGCAATACCAAGTAGCGGGTCGAGGGGCGGGGGGGGGGGGTAGAGGGGGCGCGGGGCGTGAGCGAGAGGGGGAGAGCCAACCGGCAATATCGAACAGTATATACCAATGGCAAACGGGGCCTTCCAGCACGACTTTTGTGGAGATGTGAGAGCACACTTTTTGCTTGGAAAATGTGTTTTCAAAGCACAAATGCGCCAGAAAATCTCGGGGCCTACGCGGCCCCGAACCCCGGCGCTGGGGCTCGTCGCTAGCGCTCCTCGATTTTGAAATGTCTGCCAGTCGCCTAACCTGATCTCAGAATCACTCATGGAGCCGTCGCGCGGACCCGACCGGCCGACCGGCAGTAGCAGCAGGCGCCGCGGAGGGCGCGGGAGGCAGCGGCGACACCTCGGGCCAGAAGCGCGAGCCCTAGGCTGGTGAGGGGGGCCGCTCATGGGTAAACGGCTCTGGGACTTAGCTAAATCGCGCATCGAAATCGGGACGATTTTGCCAGGGCACCGTCACAAGGTGGCATCGTGCGTGGGGGGGTGGTGGGCGTGCGCGCTGTGCCTGCGGAGAGCGAAACGAGAGGAACACAACAAAACACTCGCCCGCAACTACTACGCGTCATATACGCAAGTACGGGAACTCAATCTCGACGAAGCCGCGCAAAGACGCACACCAGCATGCGTGCACGCGCGTACAACGCCGCACGTACAACGCCCCAGTCACGACTAACACATGCAACCCAGCACTAGGGAACTACATACTGACATACTGCCCCAGTCGCGACTAACACATGCAACCCAGCACTAGTGGGCAAGGGGGGGCTACGTATGGACATGCTAGTACTGCAGCTGTGTGTATGTGGGAGCGGCACGATGCCGAGGGCCACAAACAAGAACTACGAGAGCTCACTGGCGCGATGCCGCAGAGCGGCGCAATGCCACAGGCGCGCGGGAACTAGGAACTAGGAGAGCGGCACGACGCCACAGGCGCACATAGTGGCGCCGTGCCACAAGCGCGCGGCTCTAGGCGCGGCCACAAGCGCGCGGCTCTAGGCGCGCAAGAAGCGGCTCTAGGCGAACTAAGTTCCCGCGCCCCGGGCACCCGATCGTGTGCCCGCGCGCAGGGGGCCGCGCCCGCGCCCGCGTGCCGCACGACCGCCGCCCCCACGCGCCAGGGTTGGCGGCTGCGGCTGCTGCGGCTGCTGCGGCTGCTGCGGCTGCTGCGGCTGCGGCGGCAGCTGCGGCAGCTGCGGCAGCTGCGGCGGCTGCGGCGGCTGCGGCGGTTGCTGCGGCTGCGGCGGCTGCGGCGGTGGTGGCTGCTGCGGCTGCGGCTGCTGCGGCTGCGGCTGCTGCGGCTGCGGCTGCTGCGGCTGCGGCTGCTGCGGCTGCGGCTGCTGCGGCTGCGGCTGCTGCGGCGGCTGCTGCGGCGGTGGTGGCTGTTGCTGCGGCTGCTGCTGCTGCGGCTGCTGCTGCTGCTCCTGCTGCGGCGGCGGCTGCTGCTGCGGCTGCTGCGGCTGCGGCGGCTGCTGCTGCTCCTGCTGCGGCGGCGGCTGCTGCTGCGGCTGCTGCGGCTGCGGCGGCTGCTGCGGCGGCTGCTGCTGCTGCTGCGGCGGCGGCGGCGGCGGCGGCGGCGGCGGCAAGGGCGGCGGCTGCAGCGGCGCACCGTTGTGCATCGCCGCTGCCGCTGCGGCTGCGATGGCGCGCACAGCTGCTTCGGGCAGATATGTATAGCCAGCAGCGTCTTTACCGTGCT